TTTTTTTTTTTTTTGAATTTCAAAAAATGTCCCTTTAAATTCTATTATATTGCGAACAAATTCATGATATACATAAGCGAACGAATTCATGACTCTTTGGCGCAAAGCCAGGAGCTCTTCACCGGAGGTGGTACTTTTTCTATTAGTTTATAATGATGAATTTCCGCATTCCAAGTGTTAAAAACTTGGAGCAAATAGAAACTGATATAAAAAATAAGGATGCTAAGACATTGGAAATATCCAATTCTAGGCACACATTCGAAATGTCGGCCGAAAAAATTGAATTTATTTAGAATCAAAGATTTCAAATGTATTAAAAATAAATTATACTTAAAAAATGGGGTACATTTTTATCTTTCTCCAGCCTTATTTGTTGTACTTATTTATTAATAATACTTTATTTTTGTTCATTTTCTCTTCTCTATTATAGTTATTTTACTCTCTGTAGTGTTAATTTTCTATTGCTGTGTTTGTATAGTATTTCAAAGTGTGAGTAGAAAATTCATTTCTTATTGTAGTCGAGTACTAAAATCGGGCTTAGTTCCTACTTCCTAGGAAGGGTATGTGATTTGCAAATGCAACCCTCCTGCTTGCTTATGATTTTAAGTTTGAGGACAAGCATTTGAAAATTTGCATCGTAAAATTTTATTGTCATAGCATTAGCAGAGGAGGAGATTGAGGATAGCATTAGCCTTATTTCTATCTGCTTGCTGAGTTAATATCACAGATGTTAATAACTTAATATAAGATAGCTTATCCTTTCATCTTTGGTGTCTGAACATTTTACGGAGGTAAGATCTACTCCTTTTACTAAGTATTATAAATTCCTTCAATAAAATTAGCTTAAGGATGTTGATAAAAGAATAAGCTAAGGGCTAAAAAATGTGCAGATCCTTTGGGAGGAGGAATAGCAGATAACGGTTGTAGGATCTTTTTTTGACATGTTTTCTCTTGAGTTGCAGAAGTCATATAGGTCCTTGAGCTAGGAGCCTAGGACCTAGCCAACATATTCAAAATCAAGCTCTCATATTCTTTCATGTAAAAGAAACTGATTTTCTTGTTTGCTGTTTTTGTATTTGCATGTTCTATTGCCTCTTTTTCCTGAACTAAAATTTCACTTTCTCATGCATGTTCCAGTATGAAAGCTGAGATCTACAAAAAATACAGTTCACTCCAGATCTGCATGATTAGTGAATCAGGGGATTGATAGCCCGTTTGGCCAAGCTTCTAAAATCAACTTATTTTGAGAAGTGCTTTTCTCAAAAGTACTTTTTAAAAAAGTGCTTTTGGTGAGAAGCAGTTTGTGTTTGGCTAATTAATTTGAAAAGCACTTTTGAGCAGTAATTAGTGTTTGGCCAAGCTTTTGAAAACTGCTTCTAAGTGTATTTTTCTCAAAAGTGCTTTTCAAAAAAGTGCTTTTGGAGAGAAACTACTTTTTTCTGCTTCTCCAAAACTGTTTCTGCTTCTCCTCAAAAGCGCTTTTTTTCCTTCCAAAAGTTTGGCCAAACACCTCATTTTTTGGCCAAAATCACTTTTGGCCAAAAAGAGCACTTTTGGCCAAAAAAAAGCTTGGCCAAACAGGCTATGAGTGTCATTTAGTATTGATAGAAGTTAGACTGGACTAATAGCACATGAAAGAGTGCAGACATCCCTTTCCATATTCAGTTAGCAAGTTTTCTCTCTTATATTAACTCTGAGTTATTTAATGAAGTTGAGGTAATGCAATGGGGCTCGCATACATTACGTGGCTTATGAATAATTAGTATGTGTTTTTAATCCATATTGGGACCATTGCTTAGTTTGATGTTTATACTATATCTTACTTGGTGTATTGTATTTTTGTGCTTCTGAGCATTCTTATAACTCTTACTGACGTTTCTGATGTTGCTTATGTTGTACACTTGATGCGGAGATGTAGATTCATAATTTGGAACCAAATCTAAATGCGTCTTAGCATATATTTTGATCATTGGCCTATTTGGATCTGTTTTTGACAACTCTATTGGTTCATTCCATTTATGAGACTGGATATACAACACGTCAAAATTCTTGGCACTAGGATTTGTAATGTAGAACATTCATTGCCACCTTCTACAGCAAATTTTGAGAGGCTCTTTTGTACCTTGAAGAGATTTGTCTTCAGAAATTTGACAGAGTATCTCTTCCAAATTGTTGTATTGATGCATCATAGCATAACTCTCTGTCCTTTTCATGAATTATTCTAACATTGACAGGCTTGTGTTCAGGAAGATATCGAAATCTTAGCAATGGAATGGGCCATTTTTACTCATGAACTACTCTTTCAGCCTCGTGATTTTTGGTAGTGGTGATCTATTTGACATCTTTGACCTTTGATACCATCAGACTATATATGTTATTGTCGACATGTAAACAATCTTTTTATATATGTGCATATGCTGTAAACCGAGAAAATCATAATAAAGATGGAAATGATGTGTAGCCTAGCCAAGAAAAATAAATTATAAATCAAAATTGGCAAATGAAACGTGCTTCTTTCTCATTGAAGAACAAAGTTTTTCTAGATGCCTCCATGAAAATTTAGAGTTTCCCTAAAATTGTTAAGTCAGGGGATGATGCATTTCTCTTGTTTAGTTAATTACTTTTATCATTTAATAGCTTTTTCATTGACATTTGAGCGTCATAAAATTCTCGGTAATTATGCCTCACACATCATCCATGTCTTGAGTAACATTTTCATTAGTTTTGGCATAGGTATTTGATAAGCGAATCTTGTTATCTCTTTATTGAAGTTCTTTATTGAGATTCTTTCAATGATAGCTTGGAAAGAGCTCGCACACAGTAGTACACTATACAAATGAATTTAAACATTTCAAACCAAACTTCAACTTTTGTTGGAATTCTTGACAGGTTTAACAATTATTTTGGCATAGACTGCAAGATTGGCCAGAATGTTGTCTTCAACAACCTTAAAAGGTTCTTTCTCTTTGCCTTCATTGAGCTCTTCTTCCTTCACTTCATAATTGTTCTTTGTGCGATACTCAATCTTAATCCCGTGAATGCATCCTCTACTTAAAAAAGCTTCAAATGTGGCATCATAGGAAATGGAGATTCTAGATCGTCTTCTAGAATATGTTCTTCAGTTAATTATCACCAATACGGGTATGTTCCAGCAGCAATGCATATAATGCTTCCTTTTGCTTTCAATAGTTGTGTTCACTTATTTCTCTACCTAATCATCTTTTGCACAATATGATAAAGGGAAACTAGATTTGAATTATTAAGAAGTTGAATTTGATAGACGAATTAACCAGATTATTTTTCGAACTAACCAGATTATTTAATAAAATAATATCGTAAATGAACTGAACTTGGCAGTTCGGTATCAGATATATAATGATAACTTTGGCCTTAATGGCCGTGGATGAGCTGAATTGCTTTCTAACGTTTACCCTGATCAATGCATTAGCCTTCACACTACAGAGAATATCACTGATCAATTTAGGCAAGTGAAACAGAATGATTCGATCTTTTAAAGCATAATTAATTTGGTTTCAAAGAAACATGCATGCTTCTATATCACTGAGAAAGCCACTGCAAATTATACTTTTCGTGCATATTTTTTATGAATATGATTGTGATAAGTTTAATGCATTGAAGCCTCTAATTCCTTTTCATTTCACCTGAACTTTGCAGGTTAAGAGATGCCAATCAATTCATTATTTCAAGGACCAACGGGGAAATTCTTCATTTTTTAATCGACTGAAATTTTACAAGGACATATTGTATGCTCCCACTTATGCAATTCTTTGTTTATTAGATCGTAATGCTATTAATAGCTAGCAATTATTTCAATTATGGCGTCTTACAATTTTTAACTTTTAGCTTGGTTCTAATTGGTGATAACTGGTAACACAAATCAAAGGAATCCGATAAATATGAAAAAGGTTAAAATACTCCTGTGACACTCGAGTTGCATATGCTAATAGCAGGTATAGAAAATTTTCTTAGCTCGTGGTTCAGAGTTATGGATATTAAACTAAGCGAACAATACGACTCAAGGTTGCTTCAAGGGAATACGTTAATTCTCGTAACTGAGACACTCCCACCCTCGACCTCATGGATAACAGAGAGTCGACCAATATAAATGCTTGAAACATTCATCGTTTCCAGCTATGTATCACTATTTAGTTAGTGATTTCCTTGGTACTTCTGTAACTCCTTTTAATTTTTTTCAGTTTTTCATACATTTTTAATTCCAGTCGCTAAACTTCAGTTTTACCAGTTAATGGTGTGACGAATTTTATTAAAATGTTAAAGACATTTAATATGCCATGAGCACGGGCTATCGCTTATCTAGTTTATCATACAAATTATCTAATAATTTGTTGAAGTAGGTGGTGTGCAGCATTAGAGAATGGGCAATATATCGAAAATATTTGCATGCTTTTTGAGAAAGAAAATATGTGCATGGAGGCGTGACCTCCTCAGCAGGAATCGATTAGCACTGCTCTTGGGCGATTTGGACCATTGGAACGCCATCTCCGACCAACTGGAGCCTGCCGGAGAGTTGCAGGTCATCAGAAGTGGCGATTTCTATAGTGAAATCTCCTAATTTTTGATGGAGAGGTAGTTATTGGTGTGGAGAACAATCTCTACGGCTTGGAATTGCAAGATTGAATGATTAAAAATTGAAGAATAGTCAGACCCGATGAATTGAAGTGGCTTTTCTCTAAATCTGACTTGATGACTTTTTTATTTTTTTAAATTAATTATTTATCATATTCACGCGCTTAATACCGGTGATTAACATGTAATTGGCCACATCAGCAATAATATTGTCACCTAATCATAGTCAACGGTCAAATGTCTTTATTAGTAGACATTTTCTCAAGTAGGAGTATTCAAAAGGGAAAATTCAAAATTTGTGTATCGGCTTTCAAAAGCCGTTTAAGTGGACAGGAAGTCAACACGCGTAAGATTCATAAATCATAAATGGACCCCATTCTACAGTGCATAGTTCAGCACTGTCTGCTACGTTTCACATAGCTCAATTACATGAACCGATGAAAATAAATGGGTCTGCTTTTTGTTGCAAATCCATTACACTGTGCCAAACGCTGCCATATACGATCCTACTCATTTTTAAATTTAAACCAATAAGAAACAACTTCAAACAATCCAAAAAAGCAAATGATGCTTTGGACTTCTGGAGATAGTCTCTGTGTCAAATTCCGTGTAGTTTCAAACTTTAAAATTAATGTAACTGAGGCTTCCAAACAAGTCCTAAAATTGTGTGCTTAGCTTGACGACCTATACATTTGACTTCTTCAATTTATTATATTGGGTAATTTTTATTACTTAAAAAATACTATGGGAATAATATGTTATTAAGTTTTGTAATACATGGCTACACAAAGATGGATTTGATATTAAGTTTTGTAATACATAGATACTCAAAGATGGATTCAAAGTTCAAACTTTAAATTTAATGGGTTTAAATTAAATGAACTCAATATTTAACATTGTTACCACTAAACTCATTATACTTTAGAAGTTATAGGTTCATAATTCACTTTTGTTGACATTTTTGTGAACTTTTCCATGTATATTCATTTTCTACTGCCATTAATTGTTGGGTTCAAAATTTAAATTTAGTGAATTCAATATAATTGTTTAAGCATGAGAAACACACTGAAACAATGTTCTATTACTCTGTGAAGCTTCGGTGTCAAAATTCCAGATTTTAGAATTGTTCAATATTATGCTAAATTATAGATGAAAAGCTTTTCGCTTGCATCACATAGTTGTTGTGCCAACAATTTTCTAGGCTTGCGATTCGGGGATCAAAACTTTTGGTAGACCATCAACCCCAAACTATATACTCCTCTTTGATATGCCACAACTACAACATATGAATTTAAAAAATACACCTATTTTTATGAGTAAATAAGAGTTTTACTGCACCATATATGGGGAATTCTCAGGTATAAATGGTATGTGCTACAGTTCACTATTAAAAAAAACATAAAAGATGGACAGTCATTCTAAGAGAAGAATAAGAAAGATCAAGAGAATCCTATCAAGCCCACTATTTTGAAAGAAAAATATTTCCCCAGTAGCGCCGGCACTATTCAAGAGCCATAACTCCAGTGTCCGGTGGTGGAATTTCACAAATCAAATGAAGCATCTACTCTTTGCGCACAATCCCCAATTGTGCGCTGTAGCGAAGTGCGAAGTGCACTGTAGCGAACTGGGCAGCTTTCTTTTACGCGATGTGGTCTCCTCTCTCGTTTGGCGATCTCATGCACGCTTAGGGCAGCCATGGCTACTGTGAATTCTCCCCAGCCTTTGGCTGTGGGAGAGGCAAGTCAAAACACGCTGGAAACACTCCCAAATACCAAGCCAAAACAGTCATCCGCTGGACAATTTCAAAGAAACAAATCTGCCGCAGTTTCGTCAAAAATCGATTTGATTCCTGTGAATATTGTTCATGGAGAACCAACGGTGGAATTCACTATTGAAGAGGTTAATACATTCACCATTGAAGAAGGATTGCACCAAGCTGTAATTCTCAAGTTTTCATATGGAAAACCAGACATTCAAGAGATGCGACAAATCATACCAAAGCAATTTGACGTGAAAGGCTATTGTAATGTCGGGCAACTGGAATTTAGACATATCTTGGTAAGATTTGATTTGTTTGATGACTTTGTTCAGTTCTTATCAAGGACAACTGGAATAGTTAAGGCAAAGGGTGAGGAATTCTTCTTTAGAACCTTTCCATGGACTATAGGTTTTAATCCTAGAGAGGAAACAAGTAAAGCAGCTGTCTGGATTTCATTTCCAATGCTGCCGCCCAATTTTTTTGCTATGAAATCAGTGTTGTCAATTGCTTCAGCAGTAGGGAAGCCCCTTGCAGTGGATAAAGCAACACAAAATCGAACAAGACCAAGTGCCGCAAGGGTAAAAGTACTACTGGACCTTAAAGACAAACATCCTAAACGAGTTAAATTCATATTGTCGACAAAAGTTCTGGGAAATATGTCGAGCACTATCAGGAGGTTGTGTATGATAATCTCCCAAGTTATTGCACATATTGTAAACATCAAGGACATGATGAAAGGTCATGTCGTGTGTCGAATGGAAAAACTAAGGAAGATGATGCAGTTGCGACAGAAAAACGAGCTGAACATGATGATTTTCTGCCCGATTTTGATTCAAGTAGTGCTGAGCAGTTAAAATGAGATGCTAGAGTTTTTTTTAATGCAAAAAGAGCTGGGAAAATTCTGGAGGAAGGTTTATTGGAGGTTAATGAAGTTAACCAGCACCAGATGTTGAATTTGCAGACAGAAGGAGGCCAACAAGCTGGTACTGTCAACGAAGGTATTGTTGGTATTCCTAATGCTAGTGTTCAGATGGACACAAGAAATAAGGCAAGGCGAGATAATGGACAGCTGGGTGATGGAAAACAAATTGTAACAGCTAATAGAAGAGTCTGTACAGGTACAAAGACTGTCAATGTAGAGGCTACACTTCCAGATGCTCAAGCTGAAAGTGAGCAGGGGTTTGAGCAGGGGACTCTGTCTCAGGGAACTGGCGTAGGTGGAAAACTGATTGATGCTTCAAAAATTGCTGGGCAACAGGGGAATGATGAGTTGATTAAAGAATCAGCTGTGGTTGCTTCTAAGGATACTGATACAGCTAAACAATGTGAAGGACAGCAATACCAGTCCAAAGCTATTGTTGTGAATGTTGAGGGGCATGATCATGCAGGTGTTGAGGCTTTGGAGTGTGAAGATGCTACAGTTTCTAAGGTGGTGAATTCAGCTGCAGATGTACAGGCTAATACTGGAGCTTTGAAACCTACAGCTTCTTTGAAATATACTAGTGTAGTGCAAGGATTCGAGGCAAAAAGAACTGGGCATGAAGACCAAACTAATGTGTGGTCAGATGTGGAAGTTACAGGATGCTGGAAATCAAATAAGGCCTAATGCAGGTTTTGATGTAGTTTCAGCTGTTGAAAATTCTGGGCAGAATCTTCAATGTCCAAATTTGAAGTATACTGCTACAGTGAATACAACTGTGGATCGAGATGCTAATACAGTTTTGCCTACGACGTATGATGCTGTGGGCTCATCTGGAATTTCTCCTATTGAACCTGGGCAGCTTCAGCAAAGAGCAGCACTAGCAGAGATGAGCAAATTTGCAAAAGCAGATAATAATCAATCGGCTAAATCCAAACATAGAGCCTGGACAGTTGTTAATCACTCACATAACAGTAGAAACTCCAATGCTACCAAAAATATGACTGCAGCATCATTGAACACCAATATTTCAAACTCATTTGATGTATTGGTTGAGGATCAAATCAGTGCCGTGATGAAGGATGACGAAGCAGTCATAAAGGCTACCCATACAAACTCTTCAAACAGTGTAGAGGTGCAGCAAACTCTTAAGAAATCTGCTACTGGTTTTGTAACAGCATCAGCAGCAGCTATTGATCATGAGCAAATTTTAACTCCTGGGGAGTGTGTTAAAGGTGTTGGGCAGGCTACAAATCCCAGCAACTATGCTACAAAGAGCAATGACTGGACAGAGGTGAATCCTACACCCAGCAAAAAGCAATCTCCAGGTCTCCAAAATCAATTTTTATCATCAAAGACTATTGGTGTTTCGAATTCATTTATTGCTTTGGTGAATGAACATGAGCAAGATGCGAAGGAGGCTGGGAATACGAAGCAACATATTGGTGATGAGGCAAGGCCAATAACTGAAAAAACTAGTTCTTCAGGTAGTGGAGTACAGCAGCAAACTTCAAAAGAAATAGGTGCCCGAGTACATGGTTCGACAGA